GGGGGTCTCTGGCACCTCGGAGCGAAACGCACAAAAGGCAGCGCCGCCGGCCGGCCGGTGGCCTCTAGGGGAGGCGCGGAGCCCGGGGCGGGGGCAAAGATCAGGGACCCCTGGGGGCGGGGTTTCGGCCTCGGCCCACACCCCCTGCCCGGGTTTGGGAGTCAGCTTCCTGAGAAGGGCTGTGGGCGTCAGACTGAGGCCCTGGGAGGAAAGAGACTCCCGGAGCAAGGCTGGCGCGGGAGGCTGTGCGCCGGGGCATTGCCGGTCTCCGTGGAGCGGGAGTTGCCTGTGTTGTCACGAGAAGGTGGGACGCTGGGTCACTGCGCTGCTGGGCAGTTCTAGGCCGGCTCGCAGCCTGCCAGCAGATCAGCACGCGAACCCTGAGTGCGCGGGGTCAGTGGATCCACCTGCGCCCCGGCCAGGGGGCACTAGCGGGTCTTGAACCCACAGGCTGCTCTTTGCCCATTTCTGCAGCTGCCCCAGGCCAACAATCGGAGACTGGTAGGCAGGGGGGTGGATGAAAATCGGGATCGTCCAGCTGGGAGGAAGCTGGAAGGATGACCAGATTGTGTGCCCTCTGTCCTGTGCAGGAATCTTCCCTAGCGGCCCAGTTCCGGTGAGTCAAGCTTTTGCTCAAACACTTCCAGGGATAAGGAACTCCCTGTCAATAGGCAGCCCAATTCAGTTTTGATGAACTACATTGGTTAGGAAGTGTAAAGAATCCCAGCTCCTTTGGTTCTGCCTCTACAGCTGCCCTCCTACAGGCCACCTTAGGCTGTCACTGAGACCCATAATAACACCCGCGACCACAGACGAACATGGTGTGCCACCAACGGTCTGGACTCTTGTCTCCTTCCAGACACCATCCTTTTGTCAACACAGCCCAATAGGACTTGGCTTTCCCGGCATCCACATGAACCTAAGTTTCCAGTAGAGGTGTTCTTGGCTGTCATGTTTTTATGTTGTTACTGTTGTTCATTGAACGCAAGTTACTAAGCCAATCTCCCTCCCTGAACCTGTGAGGTCGACTTTTCGAAGATGTTCAAAGATAGGCCTGTTGTCTCACCTTGTCACGCTTGATCCATCTTCCAATCTAAGCAACAAATTCTCAGCGAGTAGGTCACCAAAATTCTGTATCGTAAGATGAGTGTGACTTTCCTATTTCTACCCATTCTGAGTCCCAAGGAACCTCAGGATCCTGTGGCATCTTTCCTTTTTGCCTCACAACATCCACAGGTGCACTTTCTCCCTGTGCCTCATACTGCATTCCTGTTACTTTTAAAAAAGTGTTCTGGTGTCCACATAGTCGAGAACCCAGCCCTGAATTACTCAAGAGTAAGAATAAACCAAAACCCTTCCTTCACTTGAGCCCCCCCAAATCTAGTACACCACTGCCCTTAATCATTCCTATTTGGCCACCACTCACACAGGTGTTCCTTTTGCCTGGTCTCAGGAGCTACCCACAAGTTCTCAACACATTTACACAAGACAAAAATTCCCTTGCACACACCTGTCCCACCTCGTGCCAGCCTCTCCCACGCTCCAGTGCGACTCAGCTGCCTCCTCCCTGCACTCTGCTACTCTCTGTCCCCTCCGCCACCGGCTCACCCCTGGAACTACAGCAGGGTTTGCTCCATATTGGTCACTGAGCAGCTGGACAGTTGACCTGCAGCTTTGTGCTTGAAGCAAACCCTCATTTTCCCCTCAAGAGGAGCCCAGGATGTTTAAGACATGGTAAATTCCAAAATTTACTCATTCCTCGGTGAGTTCCAAAAGAAACCGCTTTCTCAACAGCCCCGGGCATTTCTTTCCTTTCCCCAGTTCCTTTTGGACCTTAGGGCATTCACCTTGCTCCTCTTATCATCAGTTCGCTTCTTTCCTTTGGTGTTTTGCTACTTTCTTTTGTCTTTTGGTTTGTTAGATCTCGAGGCTTCTCAGAGTTTGGACTCTGAGAGCCTCGAATTTAATATTGTTCGTCTCCAAGGACTAGTTTAGGCATACCCCTTCGTCACAGCTCCTCCGTGTTTCCTCCCCACTTCTGTGGCCTGTGGCTTCTCCGTAACAAAAGGGACCCTCCACTGAGGGCGGAGGATCCAAGTTGTTGTTGGCTGCAGAAAGGCGGCCTCTGGCTTGTGACCCTTCCAAATGGTCATGTGATGAGTCAGTGTTTCTATTATTCTCCCAAAGGTCCCTTCGTGCAGAGGCCTGGGGTGAGTAGCTCATCAGCGCCTACATGGAAAGGAGCCACTCCAGCTGGCTGTAGCAAAGCTCCAAGGGCAACCTTTCACCCCTCGAGAGGTGATTAATCGTTTTTAAGAGGGGTTGTGGGAGTGTGGCGGGAGAACGTCAGTTTCCAAAGGATTGCTGGAATTCAATCCAGAGTGAATATACCCAAGATTATAGCAAACAAAACAAAACTGCAAGGACTCCACAGCTCCCAAAGTCAAGACTGAAGCCACTGATACGGAAGAACCTCCTTACTCAAGGTAGCAGGTCTCCGCGGCTGCAGGTCAGACCATGAAAAAGGACCGAATAATCCTCCCACCACAGTCTCTTTCTCACCTCCGCACCTTAGAGTCAATCCTCCATCTAGGATTAAATTTTTAAAATAATCACAATCTGGAGACCGTTGCTTGCCTGCCTCATTAAAGCTGGTCTCTGGCATGGGGGCAGGCCTTTTCAATTCAAACCATGACTTGAAGAATTCAAATCACAGTGTTGAGTTTCAAGTTCAAACTGTGGTTTTTTTTGAGAGATGCTGATTATTTTTTCCCTTAAGACCCTTACTCCCCACCCTCAGAAATCCCAGAAGAGGAAGGGGAATAGAACAGTAAAGAAACACACGGAATGCCTCCTAGGAAAGGAGACTTAACTCCCGAAGACCCCCAAAGTGGAGATGCTTCCTTGCCCTTTCTCTTTTAAGCTAGAATCTCCCGAAACCACAGTTTGAACTTGAAACCACAATTTTCCTGACACTGTATCAAAGGCTGGTCTTAAAGGAGCCTGCCAATATGCCCAGGATCAACCCTCCTCTCCACTGTTGGGACAGAGCAGCCTTTATTCCCACTGGGTCACTGGTGGAAATGTGGGCCCAAACACTGTGACCCACTGAGCCAAAAGAAGACAGGCTCTGTTTGCTGGACAGAAGGGTGAACCCCAAACGTGTCCTACTCCTGTATTCTCAAACCCAAGGCGCCAAAGGTTTACCTGATTAAACCAGAGGAAATAAAATCAGACTCCAAAGGGCATGTGGCAACAGGAAGCTGGGAGGCGCATGAGGAGCTCCTCGCCCTGGCCAAGGAGTAGCGCCTGGGGGCTGCTTGGCCGGACGCTGTACACGTGTCTAAAATGACACCAGGAAAGGGAGCCCAAGCAACCCCCAGGCCCAGCAGGTTACTCACAGAGGCGACTGGGAATCAAATGGTGACTACAGGGTCAAGAGCAATCAAGGCCACTGAATTTTGAAGACCTGACTCCCGTTATCCTTGGGATCCCACCAAAAACGACCACGTGGCAAAGAAGACGCAGCTGTCGTTTCCCTCCTTGGGAACCGCTGTTGCAGCAGCAAAGTCAAGTGACTACAGCAGCTGCCGTAAAGGAGGGAAAGGACTTTACACTGAACCGCTGCAGTGTGACCGGGTTGATGCTGGGGAGCTGGGCAGCAGGAAGGAAAGCGGAAGCAAATGGATCTTTCTTCTTAGATTCTACTTTATTTGGTAAAACTCGGAAACTAACAACCAATTCACGGCCCCCAACCTTCTTCCCTCTGAAGAAGGCCGTTCCCCAGAGACAAAAAAGGCTGTGGCTTGGGTAACACCCACCATCTCCAGGTTTCAGACTCAGAGCAGCTCATGGCCTGGTGGTCAGGCCTCCAGACCCAAAGCTCTCAGGCAATAGAGAAAGCAAAAGGAAGCTCTCACTTCAGAGACAATGACCCGTCCCACCCCCTTCCCCCCTACCCACAGCCTCCCCACACCCCAACCTAAATAAAAAGATAGCAGAGGACAATGCATGAGTGTGATACACACACACACACATACACACACACATACACACACACACACACACACACACGCACGCACACAGAGCTTCTTTTCAGCCCAAGAGCTGCAAACTCCCTCCCTGGAAGGACAACCGGCAACACCAATCAAGGCTTGGTGGTCCAAAGCGATGGCTGGAATCATCTGAGACTGCTAAACATCCAGGGAGAAAATACTTCACCTTCACCCCGTTCCCAGGTCTCCAGTGAACTGGTTTTAGTTCAAAGAAATCCCCATTTCCACACAGGTAGACTGTGGCCTCTGGGACAGCTGGCTCAGGGGAAGGTTTCCCCTGGCCGAGAAGACAGTGGTGGGGGAGGGGAGCAGGGCAGGAGAGCAAAGCCTTCAGGGAGGGTCTGGGAAAGGGGACCCCAGCCCTTGGCTAATGGATCCGCGTCAGCTCCTCCACAACCTTGATCAGGTCGTCGGCGGTGGCCTCTCGCTTCATTCCGCTGCCATCATCGTACTGCAATGAGGAAAGGGGAGGACTGTGAGGGCCACTGGGGTGCTCTCTCACCCCAGGGAGGGGCGAAAGGACAGTCACAGCGAGAAGCACCTGTCGGCAGTATTGCCGTGGCAGGGAAGGAGGTCTCATCGGAAACCCACACCTTTCCTTAAAGGTACAAGTCAGCAAGGTCTCCTGACAGCAAAGCTGGTTCGAAGGCCACCACCTGGCATACATTTCTCTCCCTTCCAGAATGTCCCCCAGAGGCACCATCTCCAGTGAACAATACCCCAAAACTCTGCACTGCGGCAAGGTCTCTTCCCTATAGGATCCTGACCCTGCCTCCCATCTGTGGGTTGCCAGAGATCTGTACATGCCCGAATATGCCCTCACTCCTGGAGGTCACACAGGTGAAGTTCCTAGTACAGTGCCGTGACCCTCAGCCACATCCCCTTGCCCTCAGACTCCACCTTCCCACATGGGTAGGAAACTACTTAGAAAGGGCCGCTGGTACTTGGGGGTGGAGGCAGGAGACACCGGCACTCTGGTGTCTCCAGCACTCCTGGCCCTGCCATGGACTTGGGTCACAGTCCAAACACCGCACAGCTCACCTGTAGGTTTGCCACGACCTCCTGCATCTTGGGCCGGCTGATGTCTAGGAAACTCTCAATCAAGTCTCCATCAATGAAGCCTGTGGCCGGTTCTGTCTTTCGCTCAGTATGAAAGGATCTCCAGGTGGACAGGTGAGTTAAGGAACATGCAATTATCTGCAAACAGCCTTACTCTCAGTCATCCCCGCCTCTGCCCAACACCACAATCTAAAGCGATCACCAGAATGAGAACAAGAAATGTTTGCTCTTTAGACAGTTTTGGAACTGAAAGGCCTTAGGTAAAATTATCACCTGATCCAAATATTCTCTAGTAGAGTGATCTCCAAAATGTTTTTAAAACATATCAGGGGCACCTGGGTGGCTCAGTCAGTTAAGCATCCAACTCTTGATTTCACCTTAGGTCATGTTCTCACAGTTCATGAGATCGAGCCCTGTGTCGGGCTCCGTGCTGACAGTGCGGACCCTGCTTGGGATTCTGTCTCTCATTCTGTCTGTCTGTCTGTCTGTCTCTCTCTCAAAATAAATGAACATTAAAAAAATACTTTAAGAAAACTACAGATCAGACCGTCTCCTTAGCACAGAGCCTGGCCACATACGGATGTTTTCTACAAGCACTCCAGGTAGTCCGGCGTGCACACCCGGGAAGAACCACGCTTCTAAGTGTAACCTTGATCTACACAGATGAATAAACTGAGGCTTAGTGGGAGAAGAAGCATGCCAAAAGCCCTGCTGGGTAGCAAAAGCTGACACACCAGCCCATTGCCTCTATCGCAGGCAAGAGCTGGGCCGTCCTGCCTTGGAATGGGCCCAGAGCCCTCCCGCCCTCCTGCCTGGGGAGGACTCTTTCTATCTCCAGGAATAAGCAAATGTCCAGCAGTACTTGGATCCTGGGTGTCACAGGGGCCTGATCCCTGGGCTTCTGGAGCTTTCGGCTTCTTCACTTTTCCCTTCTTCTCCCACCAGCCTCTCACAAGAGTTCTCAGACCCTGCTGTCGCCAACAAGATCTCTGAAAGCACATTCCTACGTGGTCATCTAAATTTCCTGTTTGACATGTAAGGTCAGAAAGACCAGAGGCGTATTTCAAGGACACAAATAATACATTTCTAAAATGAACCAGGTAAGCTGGGTGATAAGTACATGGGGAGTCACTATACTATTCTCCCTGCTACCGTGTGTTTGAATTTTTCCAGAAGTGTATTAAGCACACACACACACTGGGGTGCCTGGGTGGCTCAGTCTGCTAAGCATCTGACTCGATTTTGGCTCAGGTCATACTCTCACGAACATCGGAGATCAAGCCCCGCATCAGGCTCCGTGCTGACAGTGGGGAGCCTGCTCAGCTCTCTCTCTGCCCCCTCCCCATGCTTGCTCGCTCAAAACAGACATTCAAAACAAAACAAAACAAAACAAAACAAAACCCACAAAAGTCCATTCCCCATGGGAAGCTAGTCAAGACAGTTCCTAAACAGCAGCAGTTTCCAGAAGCAGCCTAGGGTAATGCAGCTGTCTACCTGTGCTGGGACACGCCCCTGGAAAGGATATAAAGAGTGCTCGATCTTGCCCACACTTTTGATGACTTTATTGAGTCGATTCTGCATGTCCAACAGCAGGTTGTACCAGCTCTCGGACAGCGAGGTCACCAGCCCTGGAGAAGCAAAGGGAGCCGTGAGCCGCAGAGCCCGCGGCACGCTTCCTCCTCCGAGGGCAGCCCCGGGAAGCCACGCGAGGAGAGCCGAGCTCGAGGCAGCCTCTGCTAGCGGACGCCTTGGCAGCGGCCCACCGCCGTCCGCGTCCCTCCGAACGGGGATCTGTGCCACAGCGCGCCCTGCAGGCGCCCGCCTTACCAATCATGCCGTTGACTGTGCCGAAGAGCACAGAGCCCTGTGTGGGCGTGGAAGTCTCGCCCAGGTTCTGCATGACCAGAGAGCCGTGGCAGAAGACGTTGACGAACTCGCCCAGGTGGAAGAGACCGACCTCCTGGAGGTGCTGGCGCTCCTCATCGGTAGTGGCAGCGCTGAAAGGCAGTGTGAGAAACTCGCTCCCTGCACCTCCCATCCCCGCCACGGGCCACACGCACGGGACACCATGTGCTCCGCGTCCCTGGTGAGCCCACGCACGCCCCAGCGGAGGAGGCGGCCTGGAGACAACGACTGCTGTGGCTCTGACTCCCTCGTGGAAGAACTCTACCTCAGTGAGGAGGCGCGCTGACACCGAGAAAGGACCCGACGTCCTCATCCACCACTCAGGGGCCCTGCCCCCCGCCCCGCCATCCCCAAAGCTGGTCACTCACCTATCCTTCTGACACACAAACAAGTTAAAAGCATTTTCAGCCCCCAGGAAATTGTCGTCATCCAAGATTTCGACAGCACTCATCCAGTTAGGATTGAAGTCTCGAGCAATCTTCAAATAGGTAAGGTACAACAAGAAAATATAATCAGCAGTGTGCAACGGAAGCGAGTTCTCCGACTGGTCTTTTGGCCAGAGGCCAAGAGCCCGCCCCGCGGAAGAGACGGCCCTGTGTTTAACGACTGCCGCTCTACAGAGACGCTACCCCCCATCTCCGGCCAGCGCATCCCAGCTGGTTACAGCTGAATGGTGAGATTCAAGTGCCGGGGAGGGTCCTCCGAAAACACCTAACCAAAGCAGAAAGGATGCTCCGGGAAAAACCTGCCCCCGCTGGGCTTGATTACCCCTCCCCACCGCAGAAACACTCGCGGAGGCCACATCGTGAGAAGTCTGCCCCCACCCCAACTACCTCTTCAAAGTTCCCCTCCATGGGCTTGTAGGCAAGCAGCAGCACTGAGCGCATCAGGTCGCCCACCAGGATGAAGTCGCCCTTGGTCTTCAGGTAGAGGGCCATGATGTTGTTGTAGTGATTGCACTCGGTGCGAAGCTCCTTCTCTGTTGTCCACTCATAAAGCCGCACCTGGGAAGGACATCCCGTTTCTCTCAACCCGAGGGGCCCCAAACCTCTCAGAACGGCCCCCGTCCCCCTCTTCAAGCCTCCATGTGCAGCACCATTTACCGGAGTGCAGTATGGGAGGTGAGCCGGCTTGCTGCGGAACTTGCGTGAATATTTTATTTTGGTATCACACACTTACGAGATACGAAAATAGAGTGAGCACGTCAAACTGGTAATAAAAAGTTTTCCTTTACATAAAAAAAATGAGTCCAGTGTCAAGAAAGATACCAAGTAAACAGTAACGCAAGCAATACTAAAGACACAACAAAAGATAGTCTTCTCGTGACTGACAGTTGAGAACTGACCTACAGAAGTATTTCTGGAGAAAGAAGATCCATCTTGATCACGAAGGAACAAGATCACCTCCCAAAGAACCGTCTTTTCTGAACCCTTCTCAGAACATATGTTCTTAGAACATTCTGACGTGAACCCAATGAGCAGAGAAAATGTAATAGAAAGTCCAACAGAAACATGGTCAAATAACTCAAGGACTCTTTCAAATAACTGAAGGCTCAGGTCTTTATCCCAGGGTCGTGGGATCAAGCCCTGCATTGGCCTCTACACTGAGCGTGGAGCCTGCTTAAGATTCTCTCTCCCTCTCTCCGCCCTCTTCCACTTGCATGAGTGTGTGCGCTCAAGAAAGAAAGAGAGAAAGAAGAGAGAGGAAGGAAGGGCCCAAAGAACTAGATCTGTGGCCACCCCTCCACCCAAAGAGTTTTCCCCCCTTTTTTCTTCTCCACTGCTATGTTTCTTCAGTTACAACCACACCTCCAAACTAATGAAGATGCTTTACAGTCCAGCAGACAAACAGATACATATTCGGCACAACCCAGTCAGAGGACTCCACTCCCTGGAGAAGGCTGCCCCGGCAGACCCCCAGGATCCAGGTGGTCCCGCCCAAGGCTTCGGCACATACAGGAACTGCTGGACAGAATATACCAGGCCATGATTTCTCAGGGTATGTGTAAAGAAACCGGACTCCAAAGAGGTGCCTGCCCTCCAAGAGTCACACGTGACAATTACAATGGCTACCACACCTCCATCGGCAGGGTCATGGGTACCCAGAGCCCCCTATCTTTGGTAAGCCCACTCCAAGAGTGGAGTAAAAATGGGGCCAAACACAACATGCTCCCGGCAACATCCCCCACCCCCTTCACTCTCCATTCACAGTCTGTCTGCTGTGGAGACAGTCAAAACCAAGGTCAGACACCACCAAAAATCCAGGATGTCCACTCTTTAACCCAGCAGGTTCTGTCTAATATGGCAGCCACTAGCCACAGGTAGCTACAAAACACCTCAAATGTGGCTAGCCCAAACTGAGATGTGCTTTAAGAGTAAAAACACATGGGGCGCCTGGGTGGCGCAGTCGGTTAAGCGTCCGACTTCAGCCAGGTCGCGATCTCGCGGTCCGTGAGTTCGAGCCCCGCGTCAGGCTCTGGGCTGATGGCTCAGAGCCTGGAGCCTGTTTCCGATTCTGTGTCTCCCTCTCTCTCTGCCCCTCCCCCGTTCATGCTCTGTCTCTCTCTGTCCCAAAAATAAATAAACGTTGAAAAAAAAAAAAGAGTAAAAACACAAAGCAGGTTTTGAAGTCTCTGTATGAATAACTCACAAAATATCTCCCTAATAATTTTTGCATTGACTACGTGTTGAAATGATAGTTTGTACCTATTGGGTTAAATAAAATACATTCCTCAAGTCAATTTCATCTACCCTTCACTTTTACTCACATGACAACAAGAAAGTCTAAAATGACACCTCGACTCCTATGGGAGCTCCGTTAGACAGCAATGGTCTAGCCACCTCCTCCCTAACCTTGCATCCCCACCCCCCCCACGTCCCACGCACAGGCTCTGCACCCACTTGCTGGAGCACAGTCCCTGGGCAGCCTCCTCTCTGGCCAATCCCCTTTCTCTCAGACGTGGCTCTTTTCACAAGGACTCCAAGCTCTCTCAACTTCTCCCTGCCCCTGTCCCCTGTACTGCTGAGGCTGGAGGAAAGACAGGCTTCCGAGCACTCCCAGCCGGCCCTTTCTCACCTCCATCCTGCCTCCTCCCTGACGTGCCATCCAGAAGCCCACCCCCTCAGACTCTGCCAGCCCCAGAGCAGCCATGCACACCCCCACCCCACCACACTCCCCCACACCGCCTTCCTGGGATCCTTGGTGACTTTCACATTCATAGAAAAGGCCCAACACCGACTCCTTTCCTCTCGTCACCCCCCTCTCCTCACGTATCTTGTCCATCCAACAGTCACCCTCAGAACCTGCCACTACACGATTCCAGAATCTTGTGTCCTTGGTTTCACCGCCTCTCAGACCACTCACAGACAGCAAGCTCCTTCTACTTCTCAGTAACCGGATACTCTCCTGGTCCGCGGCCCTCCAGGTCCTGAGGCTACGAGCCATACCTCCTGAACCCTCTACTCCCTCCATTTCCACCCTCTCTCTCGGCTCCTTCGGAGGGTAGACACAACCAAGCGGACCGGTGCTTCCGACATCCGGGGCCCACACGGGTACTGCGTCCCACCTCCCACCGGTCTACTCAAAAACACAGCTCCAGCACCTCGTGTCTCATGGACCGTTCTCGTCCACACAGAAGCATGCAGCTGTGTTTCCAAGCTTGAAAAGCTAACAACTCTCTTGTCCTGCCACCCCTGCAGTCACCCCATTACTCTTTTCTCCCTTCAACACCAACTCCCTGAAAGCGGTTCTAACGCCAGCAGCCCTCTCCTCCCAGTCCCGGTCGAACGCTCCTCTCCCAGCTTTCCACCCCACTGCCCACCCAGAGTTGCTCTGGCCGAGGGCAGCAATACCTTCCACGATGGCAAAACCAGAGGCCAACTCGTAACCCTTACGTTACCTGACTTCTGACAGCACCTGTAATTTATCAATTCACCCCCACCCGAAATTCTTTCTGTGGTTTCCAGAACAGTTTTCTCTCTTGGTTCCTCTCCTACTTCATTCCTCACCCCTTCTGCGTTTGGCTCGTTCTTCCCCATCACCCCAACTTATGGGCCGGAGGATCCCAGGGCTCGGCCTTCTGATCCCTCCTCCACCCACTCTCAGCATGTGGACGATCTTGGGTGACCTCATCCACAGTGCTGGCTTATTTATTTATTTTAGTGTTCATTTATTTTTAAGACCGAGAGAGACAGAGCATGAGCGGGGGAGGGGCAGAGAGAGCGAGACACAGAATCCAAAGCAGGCTCCAGGCTCTGAGCTGTCAGCACAGAGCCCAACACAGGGCTCGAACCCACAAACCGCAAGATCATGACCTGAGCGAAGTTGGACCTTAACCAACTGAGCCACCCACACACCCAACACGCTGCCGGCTTTAAGTGCCGTGTCATAACCGCTGCCCTGCCATCTCTAGCCCATCTGGCAACCATGGTGACATCTTCACTAACGTGACTACTGAGACCCAGGAGGTCCAAAACCAGGAAACCTCTGGTTTCCTCATTGGGACATAGAAAAATACCTTTGGTCTCTGCCCCCGGTTCCTGACCTAGCGTGCTCCTAAAACCCTTGTAACTTCCTAAATGAGAGCAGCATTTTACACTGAGCTCCTAAATCCCCCAGAATTTCCTGGGTGACAAGTCCTTGGTTCTAATGAGGTGCCTCTTGGTGGTTCCTGGATAGTTCAGGATGTGGGCCGGTGCCCATGATTAGAAGCCTGGACCTGTTGGCCCCCTCCCCCATCCTCTGGGGAAGGGAGAGACTGGAGATTCAGTTAATGATCGATCATGCCTGTGTGCCGGAGCCCTCTCTACCTTCTCCAGCGCCCCTGCTCCCAGAAACCAGCTACTGCTGTCTGCATCAGCACTACAGCCTGACAGATCTCACCGCTGCTGCCCTTGGGCTCCTCCGGCCTTTCCTAAGATGTGAAGTGATCTTTCCAAGACAAGTCCAACCATATCCAAGCATTCGCTCAAACCCTCTAGAAGTCTCCATCATCTCACGGTAAAACCCCAAAGTCCTTAAACAGCCTATCAGGCCCCTGGCTGCCCCTCTGACCCCCCTGCCTGCCCCAGCTCGCTCCCACGCAGACAGCAGGACCGCTCCTACCTCCTACTCCTCGCACTTGGCTTCTCCGAGACACAGGCATGGCTTCTCCGTCCCTCAGGAACCTGCCCGGATGTCAGTTTCTCAGCAAGAACCGCCCCCCACCCCCAACCATGTGATGAAATAGCAGTCCCCACCCCATGCTCCTTCTGGCACTTCCTCAGTCCCTGCCCCACTTTTATCTCTCATCGTCTCAAGAACAGGTATGTGTACTAGCTGCTCGTAGGTCCCAGAACCAGCTCTTTGTCCACTGCTACATCTCACACCTACAATGGACTGTTTCACGGAACCAGTACTTCCGGGACGTACCGAGGATAATAACACGCTTGGCTCACCTTGTTCCGTACAGGTGGAATAGTCCCCCGCCATGGCCCACTCGCAAGCACAGGGACTGCAGCCCGCACCCTGTTCTCAATACCCACAGCGCTCAGGATCTGATAGGCACGGGGGGCTCCCGTAACCAAGGCCAAGAGCTGGGCCAACCCGAGCTCCCCAGATGCCCAGCTGCGCCCTCCATCCCCCCCACCCTGTCATCCTTAGCATCTGACACATAGGCAGACCATCACGTTCTCGGGGAACGTGAGAGAGACATGCTCTGTAGACGATGGGGTGCAACCCAGGGCGTGACACCAAGCGGCCTCACCGTGCTATTGATGCTGGCTAACAGCTTCCCGTTGAATTCCACCATGGAGTACACGGCCCCTTTCACTTCCTTCTCAGCCACAGTCTGTAGTTTTCCTGAGGGGAGAGAGAAGAGACTCTGAGTCTCCTTTAGGAGCCCACACTTTAACTCATCAAAAGAATCCTGATTCCCCCTCTGGCTCTAATTCCTGCTCCCAAACCACGCATCTGAATGCAGGAAGCAGAGTCAGTGTCTCCTGGGGTTAACCACCACCACAGCTATGAGCCCCAACAGAATGTGCAGCGACTCCACGCTGTGTCCAAGATCTGCCGCCCCCAAAATTGCAGCTCCGACTCCCAAGATGGAGACCACATTCCATCTCAGCCATCTGAGCTGAGATTTTGGGGTTGATAGTGAGTCCTGAGAACCCTCTTGGGTAGGGGAGATGAGAAGAGACAGATGTGCACACGAAGCACTAAAGCTGCAACAGGACCCACACGGCTGAGCAACCAAGTGCAAAGCAAACCTAGGATTCCTCTCCTTCTGGCCGCTCGATTCTCTTACCCGTCCTTCACCTCCCCCGCCCCCACCCCCACCCGGCTTCCCTTCAAAGAGTAGAAAAGGAAGAAACGCAAGCTAGACTTTACTTGTGGGTCTGCCGCCCCCCTCTGTGAAAACTGATTCAGATCAGCAGCAGCTTGAGTGGCAGAACACAAAGTCTCGTGGCACAGCAATCGATCCAGGCTCTTCCACTGCTTCACCAAGGCCCTGAACCCAAACGGTCTCACTTTCCCGGGATGTCAGATCTCTCAAAGGCTGGGGACAGTGCCCACTTACCGTCGGAATACTGAAAGACCACGATCCGACCCTGCTTGGGCTCCGCCTCTTCGGGATACACCATGGCCGTGCCCACGATGAAGTACGTGTTGGGGTCTTTGCCCAGCTTGCAGGAGACCAGGCTGAGGGCATACTCGTTCTGCAGAAACTGGTGGGCATGAAGCACTGGAAGGAGACCGGGAGGCGTGACTGGCTGCTGAGCCCCACACACAGGTACCCCTGTGCTCCAGGGAGACCCCAGCCGGGCTCCAAGCACGGTGCGGGTGGTGCCGGGACGCCGCCTCCAGCTGCTCCTGTCCCCTCAGCCTGTCTCCGCCCCTCACCAGCCTGTGCTGACGGGAGGCGGCCCGGCACCCTGGACTCCTGGCCAACCCAGAGGTCCCACCCCTCCTTGCTTCTCCTCCTCCTCGGATGGTCTGCCACGAGGTTTACCCAACTTCGGAACCTATGAGAGCCCAGAATCGGCTAGCTGAGGGAGGAGGACGTGGGCAGCAAATGACAGAAAGAGCTCATCTGCACCTTCGAAGGTGTGCTGGTCGATGATGAGGAGGTTGTGCACCTCCACCTCTTCTCCAAAGGAGGTCTCGTGAGGCGCTGTGCTGCTGGAGAACAGCTTGCTGGAGCTGACGCTGCTGGACAGGGCCTGAGAACACAGAACGCACGCGCCCTCTCAAAAGGAGAACGGGAGGGGGCCGGCCAGGACCAGGGGACAGAAGTGGATCTGAATGAGGAAATCTCAAGGTTGGCAGCTCGAGGGGAGCCAGAAGAACAGAGAGCTTCGGAGAGGACACGGGGACCGGGGATAAGGAGCCAAATCCCGTATAAAATTGCCACAGCAGTCCAACACAGAAGAGCCTGAGGGTCGCTAACGGCCATTAAGACAGTGATGGCAAGTCACTCGAACAAAGCGAATGAAGAACTAAGGCAACCTAGCGAGGCGGGAGACTCCAGCTCTGTCGATGGGAAGCGCAGGAAGCAGGTGAAATGAAGACAGGTGTAAAGACCTTATGCTCTGGGTTAAGGAGAGATGGTTCCAGCACAGACGTCTGGGAGCAAGAAAAGCAGAGAACACGCGGAACAAAAGTGTCAGCTAACACCGCCACTGAGTCTATCACGTGGGGCCGCAGACTGGCACCCGTATTTCACAGATGAGAAATCTGCACTTTAGGCTTGCCCAAGGTCACACAGCTAGCAGTAAACCCTGAAGACAGTTCTGCCAGACTCCAGACCCCACCTCTTACCTGTTATGCTAACGCTGCCCCCCGTTACTCATACCTACGAAGCCCTCAAATTGATGAACCAAGAGAATTACTCATCCGGCAAGGCTACAGACTAGCAAAATCACGGACTTCCACACTTATCCCAAATTCTTCTCAACCCTCTGATGAGGGTGCCAAATCCAGCTCGCTGCCTGTTTTCATAACACGGTGTTCCTGGAACCCAGCTATCCTACTTGTGTCGACGGCTGCTTCCGTAACGGCCGACTGGAGGAGGCGTTCCCACAGGGCCGACAAAGCCGCACCCACTATGTGACCTTTTACTGAAGAGTTTGCCAGCCCTGCTGTGATGCCATCTTTCTGTGTCCATGCCCTCACCTGGGTGCTGGCACTGGGCCTCAGAGCCGTGGTGCCCCCACTCGTGTCCTGGACTTCAATCCGGCTAGAAAGGACCCCGAAGCACTGGGACACTTCCTGATAGCAGATCTTCCTGGAGAACAGGTGTGGACAGTGCCTCTCAGAACAGGTCTGAAGCGCCCACACCAACAGATGGCTGAGCTCCACGGCCCTCCTCCCCTGGCCCTCACCTGGGGGACTCGTAGAGGGGGACCGTGCGAATGTGCAGCTTCTGGATCTCGTCGATGGTGCCAATGGTGAGGGTGCTATTGTTGGCCAGTGCCAGGCTGGAAAGAAGGGTCTGGGTTTAGATTGAGTAGACCCAAGGAAGGAAAGGATTCTACGAGGCAACTCCGTAAGGGGAAGAAAAACAAGGCAGAATTACACTAGCTTACTCGTTAGTGGTTCTCAACTTTGACTCTATGCTAAAAATCATGAGGGGGTGGAGAAGGGGGCGATCTTGAAACATTCAGATCCCTGGTCTCACTGCCACCCCCCATCTCACTAATAAGTCTGGTTGGGCCTAGGCTGAGATTTTTTTTAACGTTTATTTACTTTTGAGAGACGAGTGCAAGTAAGGGAGGGGCAGAGAGAGAGGAAGACAGAGGATCTAAAGTGGGATCAGTGCTGACAGCAGAGAGCCTGATGAAACTCACAAAACTGTGAGATCAGGACCTGAGCCACTCAACTGACTGACCCACCCAGGGTTGAGATTTTTAACTGCTTTCCATTTAATGCTAAAAATGTAGCTACAGAATCTACAACTAGGATCCTCAAAATCTCATTTGCATCAGAATGAGCGAGAGTGCTGGGCCCCACCCCCAGGGTTTCTGATTCGGTGGAGTTTACTGGAGCTGCTGGGGGGGGGGGGGGGGCAGGGCGTGGGGAGGATCATACTATGAGAAACCCAGCTCTAGAAGAATACACAATCATTTCTAAATCAGGGGTTCAGAAACCAACTAACCATCTGAATCACTAGGGAGGTTTCCTGAAAATATAGATACTAGGGCTGAACCCCAGATCTACTGAATCAGAATCTGAAAAGGAGTCAAAAGAAATCTGTACTTTTTATAAAGCATCCCAGGGATTTCTAATGGGCAGCCAGAGCTGAGAACCTCTGTTCTACATTTCTCATCTTAGCTATTTACACGGATTCAACTTTGGGAAAAGGCTAGAGGACAAGGGTTTGAGGAAAACATCATGACGCCCTCCATCAACGGCATCTGTTGAAGAAAGAAAAAGAGGCTCACCTGTCAGGATAGCCATCAGAGTTGAGGGGACACATGTAGTTGACTTCCTTGAGGTTGACATTGGAGAAGACCAATTTGTGGTTGCTGCTGTAGATGACAGTGGGGCGGTCAGAGCAAGCAAAGACGTTGGTGGTAGAGAGAGAACGGAAAGTCCTCAATACCGTGGGCTGGGTGCCCAGAGTCACCTTCTTCCGATCGCTCAACAGGCCTAGAGAAAGAACGGCATCAGGAGAGAGAAGGACAGGACACGGGACAAACAGCTGGGCCGCGGAGGTTCAAGAGCAGTGGGCCGAGGCTAAGGCCACTAACTGCTCACTCCTGATTTCTCAAAGACTCCCCGTCCAAAGTGTTCTGCTCACCCGTCTCAATGTTGAGCCCGAAGTAGAAAAGTGCCCCGTCTCCCAAGGCACAAAGGAGGTAGTGGCTGCTCTCAAAAGTGGTCATCAGGATGGAACGAGGAATGATCTCTGTGGGAGAGGGGCACGTCAAGATCTTGCTCCACATTCTGACTTGGATCCCAACCCCTAAAGGGTCCTCAGGAGACACCTACCTCCACCCAGCATCTCTTTGTGCAGTAGCTCAAAAGAGGGCAGCTTCAAGATACGTGCAGAGATGTCTGTCCACAGGCCAATGGCACAAAGAGGGGACAGCCCGTTGCTGTCCCCCAGTGGGGTGATGTCCAAGCAGGCCACTTCGTGTTCCATCTCTGTGTGGCTGAACAAAGAGGAAGATGGCAGAGGAAGGACTCCGAGGATGAACGAAGACCCAGAGAACAGGAGGGGAAAGGCAAAGCGGACCGACCAGCACACACCTGATCTGCCGGAGCTCCTGAGGGTGGATCTGCAGGTAGTAGAGGGCCCTTCCCACGGCCACCACCACCTGGCTGCTGTTGCAGGAGGCCACGCTGATGTTCTTGCCCTGAGGCTCCTTCCACTCACTGACCAGAGCTTTGGGTTCTTGAGAGACCAACCTCACAGATGCTGATGTGATCTAGGAAAAAAAAGAACAGTGTCTACAAGCACCTGCCGGGATCCATCCACAAGGGGGAAGGTGGTAAAGGCTGCCCTAGTGGAGCCCTAAAAGTAAACTAGGGAAGTCCTCTCTGCCATGTATTTTTCTTCCCCAAACACCTAGAACGATTAGTTCCGGTAGATGCCATCTGTCGCTGAAGCCCTGAAGAAGGCTGGCTTAAAACCACTTCCAGTTGGGGCGCCTGGGTGGCGCAGTCGGTTAAGCGTCTGACTT